CAGCCAGAGTCGGGTCTCTCCGGTGTCTGTGCCCTGTCTGCCGTGACTCCGCTGCCCGTTGCTGCCAGGAGGGACCCCCCTCCCCACACCCCAGAGTGAGAGTGAAGGTGTCTCCTGTGTCCGAGCTGCTTCTCACCGTTAAACAAGCCCGTTCTGCCCCCATCCCCATCTCATTGCTCGTGTTCAGCCTCTCCCGGGAGCAGCCGCCGCAGCGCTGCCAGGGTGGCTGGGGCTGGACAAACGCCCTCGGATTTCCCGGGATTACACAGATGAGCTGGGTGACTCTAACAGAATTCATAAACTCTTTATGTTTCCTTAACAGTGGTGTCTGCTGCGCTGCCTCCTGCTATTAAAAGTTGCACTTACAGAGTATAATGCGAATTACCTCTGTCCTCCCAGAGCATCTCTGGCTCTGCAGTGTCCTGGTGCAGGGCTGCCAGCTGAGAGAGCAGGGGCTTGGGGTCACCCTTGCAGCAGGGCTGGGTCCTTGCTTTGGATGCCAGGGAAAAGAGTCTAATGCATTAGCAACTTGCATTCGCATTACATATTACATCCTGGGCTCTTGAGAGAGCTTTAAAATCAAATTATCTTCATAACTTCCACCTGGCTGTGTTTTGGCATCCTCCAAGAGTCTGTGCTGCCTGGACAGAGGGCTGTGGCTCTGGACTGCCATCTATTGAATACCTCCAGCTTTGTCTTTACAAGTGTTGTCCTTTTTAGAGGAGTGCAGCTCAGGTATTCCCTAAAATCACCCTCAAAACAAGGCACAGTTTGTTAAGAGAGCTCAGTGCTTCAGCATGACCTGGGGCTTCTCTTCACTAGACAGAAATAATTAAACCAGCTGGGTATTGTCTTTGTTATCTCCTGCGCCAGCCTCTCTGTCTAGATGGGAAATGCATCTTTAGTAGTGAAAATAAACATAATGCCACTTGCTGAAGCCTTGCAGTGTCCTTAGGAGTGTGTTATCTGGGGTCGAGAGGATATTGTTTGGTGAGCGGGACTTGGTGAGGTAATGGCACGAGCTGGGATGGATTGTTTGCTTTCTGTCTCCCGAGAAATGAATGCTGATTTCTAAGAAAGGAAGGTGGAGGATTTCTTCTTCTCTACTGCCTCTATTTTACCTCTTTTTTTTGCATCTCCCAGGCACCTCTGAGGAGGTGGCTCCTCCCCTTCAGCAGAGCTTCATGATCCCCAAAAAGGAGATAAACATGGTTTCCGATATGGCCAAGTGGAAGCGCTCTCAGGTATGACTCTGGGAATACTGGTAAGTGCTTGTGCTTCAGTGGCAGCCAGGTCTGATCTGGGAACAGCCACCAAGTAAAGCAGGTTTGGGCAAGTAATGGGAAATGAATTGATTTGTGTTTTAAAGCAGGAGAGTCACTGCCAGTTTGTAGGAAAATGACTTGTCAGTGAGGAGTGGAGTCTGTCGGGCAAATGCTCTAACAAAGGAGCCAGGGAGAGCCCAGAGGCTCAGGGAGACCAGGGATGCTTAAAAATTATTACTGCTCCCTCTTAACAATGTAGACAAGGAGCTGGGAACTGTTTCATCCTGCCTAGCCTGCACGTTAAATCAAAACTGGATTTACCCAGTGCTGTTTGAACACGGTCCTGCTGCCCTCTGATAGCACCAGGCTGGGTTGGTTCCTGGAGCCTTCCCACCTTGCTGGACAGAAACGGGCTCTAGAGCTGAGACCTTCAATTTCCTGGATAATTTTTGTTTACAGTGTGTGCAGAGCTGGTGGAACAGGCAGGTTCTCCTCCCTCTGCCTTTGAGGGATTGGTATGGTAGCCCAGACTTGCCCCACTTCTTAGGAGCAAGTTCTTGCTTGATGACTGATCTGTGATGTCTTAAGAGAAACTTAAGGTCTAGCCAGGTCTCAAGCAAACCTCTGAGTGCAGCTTCCTTTGTTCAGTCTCCTGGCTGGGTGTAAGGAGTTACTCCTGGTCAGGATTTCTGTGCAGGAGGGGCAGCGTGCTAGTCTGGTGTTTTCAAAGACGTAGAGCTGTGGAGCTGCACTGGATGTGATGCTTCAAAAGCAGCAAATTGAAAGAGAAGAGTGGTGAGGAGCCTGGGCTGTCTCCCACTTCTCCACCATGAGTGAGCGTGGGAGAAGAGTAGAAGGAGGAAAGGGGAGATGAAGACACAGGTTTGGCAGAGGCAGTGCAGAGCAGGATGTCTAGGCACGACTGAGACTCCGCAGAGCTGAGGAGTTTGAATTTGACCTCATGGGATGCAGGGAGCTGAGGGAAGGGTTTCAGGGGCAGTGCAAGCTTTTTTTAGGATTCTCCTCTCTGTCACTTTTACAGTGATGCAGCATTCCCAGTGCAGTCTCCACCTGCCTCTGGTGTCTGCCAAAGCCAGCAGTAACCTCTCGGGCAGCCCTGCACCCCGGGTGTCCCCAGGAAAGCAGCGCTGTGTGCTGGGAAAGGTTCCCTGGGTGTGCAGGAGCGTTCCCATGCCGCTCTGCCTGCTCAGACAGCCCGTGGGTGCTCACTAACACCCTTCTCCCTCGGGTGTCTTTGCAGGCGTATGCAGATTACATGGGCTTCATCCTCACTCTGAATGAAGGTGTCAGGGGCAAGAAGCTCACCTGCGAATACAAAGTGTCAGAGGTAGGAGAAGAGTTTGAATCCTCTTGTTTCTCCCTTTTTGCTGTTTTTTGGTTTGTTGGGGTTTTTTGGGGTTTTTTTGGGCTCTATAGTGAATATTTCCTAAGTGAGGAATGAGTTGGCAGCTTATCTGGGAACCAGGGAGAATAAAAGTGGTTGGGTTATGCTCGAGGATGTCAGCCTGCAGTCCTTTCCCCAGGATGCAGAGGCTCTGTGTGTGCTCTCTGGATGGGAAATCAGGGAAGTCACAAGTGGACAGAAGCTGGTAATGAAAAGGGAGGATGCAGAAAGGTTAAGTTTTAACCCTCTTTTCACGGTGTGGCTTCAACCAGTGATGTTCTCAAGATGTGGTTGCAAGCAAGAGGCTGAAATGTCTGTACTGTTCCTACTCTGCCACCGACCTTTCTGTGGGACCCTGGGCAAGTCACTTGTCTCCCTGTCCCTGAGCTTCTTTGTTGCTCAGGCTGTGCTAACAGCACCGATCTCCTCAGCCCATGCTGTAGCTGAGCTGTGTGAGGTCTGGTTTGACAGCATGTGAGCTCAAGACATGTCATGGACTGGACCTGCCTTGCCAAGGGCTGTGCTGGGGGATTTGGGGGGCTGTGGAGCATGCAGGGGGGCTGGGCTGGGGGGGTGTGTTTAGTCTGTGGGGCAGGATCACCCCTTCTGTGTCACACACTGGATCCCACTCCCTTGTTCTGCGTTGCAATGAGAAGATTCTTGGGTACGTTTTACTGTTCCAACTTATCATGGCTTTGCAAGAAAGCTGGGAATAGTCTGAAAAGATCCAGGCAGAATGGGAGGCAGACTGGGCCCTGTGTGTTTGTAGGTTCTCTCTGGTGTGGATGATCTTTAACCGAGTCATTTATGTTTGAAGCAGGGTGTTAAAGCCACCAGCTTTCCCTTCTAGGAGCCAGTGTGTGAATGAGAAGCTTGTAGTTCAAGAGGGGGATCAGAGATAATGAGTCCTTCCCTAACAGGCTTTGTGTGCACCTTTTGTTCCTCCAATTCAGTAGAAACTGCTGTCAAATGCTGCTCTTGCTTTCCACTGTTGGCGTTTTACCTTTGAGTTTTGTCTTTGTCATGATCTCGCTCGTTCCCAACCATTCACAGAGCAGTTCTGGGGAAACAAAGCATTAAAAATAAGCAATACAAAGCTGAAAAAGCCTTCCCCAAACATCTTCCACCAACCCCTTTGAGCTGTCAGCTATCTAGGAAAAGCTGTATCAGCTCTGCTTGCACGCAGAGGATCCCTCTTGGAGTGTGTATTTTCCATCCACGGTCCCAATCCAGGTGAAAAACAAGAGACACGGTCCCGACTGCTTGCGAAGTGGCAGGGAACACATCTCGTTCCCCTCGTGCTGTGGAGAGCAGGAGCCTGTGACTTGAGGCACAGGTGGAGCATCCCCAGGGTTGCCTTGTTGATGAGGTTGCCTGTTCATGCGGGTTCGTTTGTAGATCAAACTGCTTATCTGTGCTTTTAAAGGCTCAGCCCCTCGTGGCCTCTGCTTGCATCTCTGCTCTGCTTTCTTCTCTTCTGCTGTACCTGCTGCTGATGTGCTTTTGTGCCGTCCCATCTTCCTCCCTGATCAAATGCTGGGGACGCCTTCCTTTGGCAAATGACCTCCTGGAATCCTTTCTGCTGGATGTGTATCCTCTCCACCACTCACTGGTATTGCTTTGCTGTGGGGAAAAAGCAATACAGCAAAAAGCAAGTATGGTCTGCTCTGCTGTGAAAGAGACAGCTTAATGGTTCCCAGAGCAGCCTGTGTCGATACCAAACTCTGCTGGAGTGAGAGCTGGATCCTTTGGGGGCTGAGCCCCTTCTGAGAGTTGCTGAGCTTGCTCTGCTCCTACTGAAAAATTACATGGAGCTGTCTGGGGTTTTGCTGGAGGCATCTGACAAGTAGTGATAGCTGAGCTGTTGGTTAGGACTCGGGCGTAGACACGATGTCTGGCACAAGGTTTTATGACTGATAGGCTGTGACCTGCCTTCTCCTGGAGGGAGTGCATTTCACAGGAGGATCCACGCAGGGGCTGCAGCCTGGAGCCATTTTTCAAAGCTGTGACTTCCATCAGAAGAGCAGTGCAGCAAGGAGGAGGTTAATTTTGGCCATACAAGGAGCAGAGGTTCCCTTCAGTTTGCTGTGCTGGGGGAAATTGGCTGGCCTTGTGGCTTGCTCTGGTTTCAGGAGGGAAGTGGGGGAAGCAGCAAGTGCCCCGATTTTAGCAGCTCCCCCCTTGGGCAGGGCCTGAGGAGCCCCCAGGGACAGGCTTGGTCCCCAGGGACAGCTCTGGCTGCTGTGGTGCCTTCTCAGCACCTCTGTCTGCCTGGCCCCTGCTCTTGAGAGATGCTGACAGGTCTTTGCTCTGTAGGAAGCTCTGTGCTTTGCCTTTGGGACCGGTGGCAGACTCGGGGTCAAGGGGATGCAAAATCAGCACAACGAAAAGAGCAAGGAGAGCTGAGGGGGCAGGGGGGGGAGGCTGCCCTTGCTTTGATCACTGGAAAAGTAAAGCAAAAATAGAGCTTAAAAACCCAGCCAGGCAAAACAAGGTTGCAGTGGTGCTGATGGTTGTGTTCCTGTAAGCTCTGCTCTGCTCTTCCCCTCCTTCTCCCTCGCTTCCATCAGCTCTGGATGTGCAGGTTTCCTCTGCTGGACAATGAGAAGCTGCTTCTTTTAGTAACCCCCTTTTCAAAGGGCTTTGAGCCCAAAACGAGCTGCATCTCTTTAATTATTTATGGGCATGGCTGAGCTGGCAGCTGGGTCCTGCTCTGCTGTGTTCAGTGGGGCTGGGCTCTTTAATCCCTTTGAAGGGAGGGAGTGGGGAAGGGGAGGTTGGACTCTCAGCCCCCCAAGGCCCACGGGCAGGTCTGGGGAGGGGGAAGGAGCTGGTCCTTGCCAGCCATTTATCCAGGCAGTACCGGGTGCTCGCTGAGAGGGGTTTGAAATGCAGTAGCTGCTCTTAATGAGCTGCTGGTGCTGGTGGATAAATCACCAGCATGATTTAATTATTTAATGCAACCCAGTGCTGGGGACGCTGTTGCTTAATTGGAGGGGAATGCAGTAGCCAGGAAGGAGCAGAGCTGAGTCCAAACCTGGCCCGGTGCAGTGAGGAGACGTGGGGCTTCTGCAGCGCTTTGGGCAGCAGGGAGCTGAAGCAGAGGGGACCACGTGTGTCTGGGGCACTGGCCTCTTAGTGGCTCCAGCTTGCAGCCTCACCAGGGCACCCAGAGCTTCTGGCCCCCCATGTCCCTTGGCATTTGGGTCTTTTGTGTTCCTGGTGTGCTCGAGTCTTGTCCTCTGTCCCAGCCTCTAGCCTGACTCAGTGGCCAAATGTCAAGGTCCTGTGGGGTGGTGGATCCCTTCCCTTCCTGATCCCACTTCCCGCTGGTTGATCCCACCATGTCCTCGCCTCCTGAGGAGCTGCAGTCTGTGGGGGGCTGTGTCTGCCATGAGACCCTTCCTCCTGGGAGCAGCGGGCATGGGGAGCCATGTGCAGCTGGTTGAGCGGCAGCACGGCTCTGCTGCGCCCGTCTCTCCACCCGCCCCCTTCCCGTGGCACTTCAAGGGCTAGAAACTTGCTGGGCTCGGCTGTTTCCTTGTCCTCCCAGCAAGCAGCATGAAGAATTGAACCACAGCCCAGGAGACCAGCCAGCTTCACACGGTCGATGCCTCCAGCAAAGTCAAACCAGCCGCCGCTTCTGCTGTCCTCTTTGTCCCCTTGAAGGAGGAATCCCCTCTCGAGACAGAGGAGCCTGCATTGCCCAGGGCCTCGCCAGCTGCTGTGGTGGCTGACGCTTCTCCCGTTGCTTGGAGTCAGGCGAGGAGAATCCCAGAGCCTCTGGCAGGCTTGACCAGTTGTCAGCAGAGCCTCCTAAAACTGTGTGGAGCTGGTTGAAGTGCTGCCAGTGGTGTTGCCTCCTGGTACGTGGGGTGTAGCCACTCCCCAGCGGTATGGGCAGGGCAGGGAGGGGGCTGTGTGCACTGGCCAGCCCTGTTCCTAACAGTAGGGCTTGAGCCAGCGGGCTCTGTTGCCTGTTGCACCTCTCGTCCTTCAGGGCTACAACAGTGCCTCCTCCAGTCACTCATACATCTGACACGTGTTCCTCACCTTCTCCTTGCAGCACCAGGTGGAAGAAAGATGGCTCTGTTGTCTTGCTGTTTATTTGTCTTCTCATCAGCTTTTGTGTTTGTATTGAGACGTTTCTCTGAGAGCCCAGAACTTCTCATGCTTGGGAAGTCTCTGGTGAGACTACTGGTGGCCAAACTGGGCTGTCTCTTACCCTGGGTAGGTTGCATTTTGCCACGTGCACTGGCTATCCCTGGGTTGGAGCTGCTCTAGCAGTCTGGCTGGTGTGGGTTTGAAGCGATAGGAGTCATGCTGAGAAGGTTGACTTGTGATTAGGCCCTGGGTGCTGTACGAACACTAACACCATCACTGCTAATCCTGGCTCCTAAGGAACACTTCAGGACAAAGATTAGAGGCCTTGAGAAGGGCCTCTGGGTCACATCCTCAGTCACTGGTGAGGATATGCAGTAAGTCCTGTGCTGTATCTCATGGGGGACACAGGCCACTCGAGATGCAGAGACTGAGTTTTCTGTTGGGGGTCCCTGAATTGTGTAGCACTTTCCTGCTTCTCAGTCCTGTGTGCCCTGCAGCTAGGAGCTTGCTGCAGCTCTTCTCTCAGGGGCTTTAGATCATAGTGCTGTTATAGCTCAAGAAAAACTGTGTGGGCAACTGGAGAGCCTGCCTCAGGCTGGGCTTTGTACTGATCTGCTGAGGGGAAGGAGAGTTTTCCTGGCTCCTCTGCATTTTGGGGAGGATTGGCACATCCCATTTCTGCTTGCCACCCTTAGGAGGATGGTGTGGACTTTAACGCCACCAATCCAGGGCAGACGTGTTGGAGCTGGTTTATGTCACCATAACCCCTCATCATCTTTGTCTCTGTAGCCCATTGAAAAGCTGGTAGCTCTTCTGAACACCCTTGACAGATGGATCGATGAAACCCCGCCAGTGGATCAACCTTCTCGCTTTGGGAACAAGGCCTTCAGGACCTGGTATGCCAAACTAGACCAGGTGAGCATGTCTTGTGTGTAGTGTTATGTGCAGGTCCTGCAGAAGGGCAGCGTGCAGCAGCCAAGTAACCTACAGAGGAATTGCTCAGATAAGCTGTGGAGGATCTACCTCTTGATATGCATTGCTTAGTCCTCACCTGGTGCTGTCTTCTCCTCTTATGAGAGCATCTGGTCCATGTAAATGCTCTTGGCTTAATCTCCCAAGTCCTGGATGAGCCATGAGGGCCCTCCAAACCCAAGGAACTCCTTTGCTTTGTAACTGCCCTCTGTGTCTGATAGCTGATGGGTGACACACAAAATCAGAGGAAGGTTGTGAAACTGCTTGACTTCCTTCAGCTCAGAGCACTTGACCTGCACCGAGCTCTGGGGGTGGCACAGACACGGTCACAGCAGCACTGAGCTTGCAGGTGGTCTGCTGCCCCAGTAATGCTTTTGTCCTGGAGATAACTCAGTGGGTAACTGGGTTGATGTACTTGGATGGTGAGGCTTTTTTTCACTACAGGACTCATGTGGCCTGGATAAGTGTTGTGACAAGCTCTCCCTGAACTGCTCCATCTCTGGAGATGACTTCTTCAACAGGAGAATTTGCTTCTCTATCATACTGGCTCTGGCCACTGTAGGACTGCAGCATTGCAGCTCCCACTCTGCAACAGCATCTGAGCAGAGGGTGACTTGCTCCTGGGGACCGTGACAGATCTACACTCACTCAAGGGAGTCTTTTTTGTCTTTCAGGAAGCAGAAAAGTTGGTGGCAACAGTGATCCCCAAGCATTTGGCTGATGCTGCACCAGAAGTGGCTGTGTACCTGAAGGAATCCGTGGGCAACTCCACCCGCATTGACTATGGCACAGGTACCTGGGCATGTGTGCTGTGACTTCCTCAGGCAGTGACCCTTTGGAGCTTGGTGCTGCATTTATTTCCATATGTTATTACCACTGGTTTTAGTGCCAGCTTGATACAAACACCTTCCTTCTGGGGCCTCCTCACCCCAACATCCAGTGTGGGCTCTGACTGGGAGAGCTGAGGCTGGCAGCAGGGCTGTGCTAGACCTATGACACCCTTTTCTCATCTCATCCAAGGAAATGTGAACCAAGCTCTGCAAGTCATTCTGGGATAAGGTGTAGGAGCTGCTTTACTGCATACAGCAATCCTGCATGGCTGATCTGCAATAGGCAGCTTAGAGGGGTAAAATATAATTACTTGAATTGGAACTAGAATGGGAACCAAGTTTGTGTTCAGTTGGAGGTGGCTTGAAGTCTGGTGCTCACTGTGACCTCACTGCCTACAGAGGGGCTTTGAAATCTGAAGGTAGGAGCATTTTGCATCTAAGGAGACAGTGAATTGCAGGTTGGAGTAACCACACTGGCTCCAGTTAGGCTTGAATCCAGAATTGTCTCCATGCTCTGCTCCTCTCTGGAGGAGAGGTGGTGTGCTGAGGAGAGCGTCCTCACCAAAAGGCAGGAGAGCAAGACACTGTGGGTGGGAGGAAACACGACTTTGGACCTGGGCAGGGAGGAGAATGTGGATAAAAGGGTGGAGAGCTGAGAGGAGGCTGAGCAGTGCTTGCTAGGAGAGCTGTGGCTCACCGGCACCAGGGGGAGATGTTGTCTTTGGAAAGGGACCTGCTGGCTGGGGTTTTGTCAGCTCCAGGAAGGAAATTCAGCCTTTCCTCCCCTGCTGGGTGTCCCAAGCCAGTGGCCCCTGTCCTAACTCACAGTGGTTAGACCATAGGTGCACTTTGTTCCTACACTGGGAGCTTCACTTCTTCATAGCATGGAGCTGCTGATCTTGTACCCTCCCTTGTTCTGTGGTCCCTTCCACTAAAAGCCATTGCTCTGGCTCTGCTGATTGTTTCTTTTCCTTGCTGTTAGCTGGAGGACCAAGCTGCAGAGGCTCAGCCTGAGGCCCCAGTACCTTCTGGGACAGGTTGTTCCCAGCAGCATCATGCAATCTGCATCCTTCTGACACAGATATTTTTGAAGCAGGAGGAAATCTGTTTACTTGCAGATGTGAGGTTCTCTTGCATCCCCTGAGCAGACAACTCTGCAGTGCTCCACTCCCCCTGCTGTGCCACGCTCCTGGGAAAGGCTCTGCCCTGCTCCCAGCACACCCAGTGCTGGAGCTGTTTTTCCTCAAGAACTTTTTTTTTTTCCTCAGAGTTACTAATCACCTTATGAATGTCTAGAAGGTATATTTTGGGTGGGTGCTGTGTGGGGATGAAATACTGTCAGCTCATGTCATTACTAGGATGAGGTAGCACCTTAGGGACAGCTCTCTGGGGCTCTTGACGAAGGGAATGTGACTGCTGTGATTTCTGAAGAGCCACTGTTGTGCCCACAAAAAGGTTGCCCTGGGAACATCAGTGTCACATCTCTTTATCTCTTTTAACTTCAGGGCATGAAGCTGCATTTGCAGCCTTTCTCTGCTGCCTCTGCAAAATCGGTGTGCTCAGAGTGGATGACCAGATGGCCATCGTCTTTAAAGTATTTAACAGGTGAGGTGATGGGAGGAGAAGGGCTGGAAGCATTGGGCTGTTTGGGGGCAGAGCTCTGACAGTGCCCACTGCCAGCTGTGTGAGATGTTACTGCTTTTTTACACCAAACTGCTCCTGTAGTCTGGGCTGGTGGTGCCACCTTTTTTCCACTCATCCCCACCCATTTGGGAGTGAGAAACTGTAAGAAGAACCTCCTCCTGGGGCCTGAGCTGGACATGTCAAGGGCCTTCTACAAAGGTGTGTGTGTAATTAGAGAACGTGGGTTGCAAAGGGCTTGCTGGCCCAGGGAAAAAGGCAGAATGGGAAAATCAAAGACAAATGTAGACAAAATGATGAAGCAGATGTGCTTTTTAATGGGCTGTACAGTGACCTGTTATAACTGTCTCCAAACAGTTGATAGCACCTTGTCTGTTAGAGGCTGAGTGTCTTTCTGGAAAGTTGCTTTAATTGAGCGTGAGTTATTGAGCTCTGCCAAGATATGTGGGTGAAACTCTGTGCTTTGTGATAGACAGGAATATCTGATCAGAGGATCTAACATCTCTTTAGGCATTAAAAAAAAAATAAATTATGAAACTGGCAGGCCTCCACTGCTCCTCTAGATCTGTTTCCAGCCCAGGAGGTGGAGTTGGTAGTGATGAAACTGATGGAATGGGTGTTTGGAGTCCAGAGATCTAATCCCAGCTCTATCACTGTTTGATGGCATAGAAACAATTTCCTTCAGTTGTACTTCCAGCTTTAGTTTTCCACCTGAGAAGTGGAAGGAGCGGTTGCTGTAAGGTGGAAAGCTTTCTGAGCTCTTTTGGAAGTTGTTGGAGAGTGAAGTGTCAATGTTTTCAGATAATGGTGGGGATAAGGAGAGATCTGCACTGACATAAGACACTGCAGATAAAATAAACCCCTGCCACTTGATTTCTTAGGGAATTTGATGTAAAACAACAACAAAACCCCAAACAGTTTTTAAAAGGTGCTAATCTACAGACCATATATATGAATATATATTCCATGTACTGCACTGTCTGTGGGGGTCCAAGTGATGAAGTTGTGTCCTTCTCCAGGCTGGTTGTTCTTGTCCTCATGGAAGTCAGTGAAGAGAGAAGAAGAGCTTCTCTTAATCCTTCCTTCCCTCTTTGGTCTCAGGTACCTAGAAGTGATGCGAAAACTTCAGAAGACCTACAGGATGGAACCTGCTGGCAGCCAGGGCGTGTGGGGCTTGGATGACTTCCAGTTTCTACCTTTCATATGGGGCAGTTCCCAGCTGATAGGTACTAATAAAAATCTTCTTGTGTCCTAGCCTGCCTCCTGCCCTGGCTGTCTAGGTTGCAACGATGATGGGCCTTGGGACTGATTTTTAAATTAAAATATGTCAAATTTGGGTATAATAAGGAAGAAGAGTTTGCTTGGGGCTTGCCTTTTTTTTTTTTTATTCTCCCCTCAGCTTTCCAAATGAAGCTAGTTGCTTAGGTTGGGAGATGGAAGACTTCCTCGTACAGTACATCTGTCTTTATTGTGATGACTACAAGCTTTTTAAAAGGAGAGTCTTGGTTTTGGTGCAGGAAAACACGTTTTCTGCTCTGGGAAGTTTACCAGGTGCTCTCACTGCTGAGGCAATGGAGTGGGAGATGAGATGGAAAGGAGCAGCTCTGTGCTGACTTCTGAAGAGCTCTGATGGGAGGATTGTGTTTCTTCAGGAAGAGGGGCAGGACAAGATCTGATTGAACTTGGTCTCAAAGGATGGTGTGATATGGGTTACTTCCTATTGTCTCTTACTCTTTTTAGACCATCCAAATCTGGAGCCTCGACACTTCGTTGATGAGAAGGTGGTAAATGAAAACCATAAGGACTTCATGTTCCTGGAGTGCATCCTCTTCATTACAGAGGTGAGGACTGGAAGGTTTGTCCCATGGGGAAGTTCTCTTGACATTAGATACTTTGCTCTGGCTGTGGTTTTCTCTTCCTCCTTTGCTTGTTTGTTTGCTCTCATGGAACTTGTGGATGAGCCATTGCTGCATGTCTGCAGTGCTCTCCTTGAATGAGTTGAGACAGGGATGTTGAGAGGAAAGTGTAATTAAGCTGGATGGGCTGTGGATTCCACTTGATGGGAGCTGTAACAAGAGCAAACAAATAACTTGAGATCATCACTTGGATCAGTCAGTGGGAACTTGGATGAAGAAGACCAGTGCCTGTGAGACACTAGGAAGATGAAGTAGGAGCTGCAGAATGATGGGGCTTGCCAAGATAACCTCCCTTCCCTCTAGCCACTGGGTGCTGCCTGGCAGCCCCTGGGCCTCCCCTTGCTTAGGGCAGGCTCCCAAACCTCCTTGCAGCTCCGTCTCCAGATTCTCCCAAAGAATTGCCCATTAAATGTGCCTTATTTGCAAACGATCTAGAAGAGGGATGGTGCTGAGGTTCACCCAGCTGGCAGTGCTGTCAGGACCATGTTCCTGCCCAAGCCCTGTAGGGCCCTTGGATGAGGGACTGGTGATACTCAGCGTGTTGCTGACCACGGGCAGTGTTTCTCAATCAGGGAGCTCACAGCTCTGTCTCTTCAGCTGCAGTGGTGACCTGCCCCTGTTTCTACCATCTCCCCTGCTGTACAGTCTGGGCAGGGGGAGCAAGAACCACCTGCTCTGGTGTGGTGGAGGATTTCTTGTCTCTGGCAAGAGAGAGTTGATGGGATTAATTTTGAAGGACAGAGTGAGGTTCTTCCCTTGTTCTGTTCGCTTACCCCCTCCTTGCCTCTGTAATTTAGTGATGAGATGAGAAGGGAGGTTACAGAATCTGAATTTAGCCTTTCATGTAGGAAATTTTCATAGGAGCCTTTGGCCCAAACCCCAGGAGGTGCTGTGTCAACAACTGCTGAATCTGGCAGGGTTTGTTGTTACCTAGCACCTTCCAAGGTTTGACCCTTAAGGCAGAGATAAATCGTGCCATGGGTAGTGAAGAGGTACTGGCAGAAGGGATCAAGGGGAGGACTGGCAAACAGGGGCCAGGGTGCTCTAACATTTATTTTAATTTGGGTCTCTAATATCCAGGCAGTGCACTACCCTGTTAGAAACACAAAAACCTGCATCTCCGGACATGTGTGTAGAAAATTCTGCAGTGCACAGGTGACATGAAGTGTCAAACACACAGCACCGTACCTGCTGCTTCAGGTCACTCTGCTTTGGCCTCCAGAAAGTTAAGCTTTTAAAATGAGCAATTTCACTTATTTTTCCACACATTTGTTGAGAAATCATGGAATTTGATGTTTCTGCTGAGTTCCTCAGTGCCACCTGGTGGCAGGGAGCCCTCCTCTCGGGCCCTCCAGCTGTGAGCTGCTAAGGGATGGCAACAACCTGGATTATCAAATGCACAGTAGTACCCTCCAAACGCTTTCTCTCCAAAATTAACAACAAAACAAAATAGCAGGAAAAAAAAGATAGAAGGGATTAAAGATCCTAATAAATTAATGATATTATTTTCTTCTGAGCTTGTCAGCTCTCCTCTAAAGGTCTCACACACGTAGCAAACACCGCAACAGTTCCCATAGTGGGTCTTACTGACGTGAGAGCAGGTTTTGTCCCTCCAAACGCTTTCTCTCCAAAATTAACAACAAAACAAAATAGCAGGAAAAAAAAGATAGAAGGGATTAAAGATCCTAATAAATTAATGATATTATTTTCTTCTGAGCTTGTCAGCTCTCCTCTAAAGGTCTCACACACGTAGCAAACACCGCAACAGTTCCCATAGTGGGTCTTACTGACGTGAGAGCAGGTTTTGTTTCACAAGCTACAACCGAGGTAGGTTGTTTTCTTTCAACCAAGAGAATATTCTCTTGAGCAGATATTTTTTCTCAGCTCCTGGGTGACATTTCAGGGATATGAACGTACACCAGCCCGGTGTTTGCCATGTGTATATTTAAACCTCAGGCTCTTAAAAGTAGCAGGGAGATGATGTCCAGGTTGAACCCACCGTTGGATCCTCCTT